AGCATAGAACTTTGCCAGGAAGCTGCTGTAGTGTCTGTATGAACTTTACTGGAAAGCTGCTGTAGTGTCTTTATGAACTTTACTGGAAACTGCTGTAGTGTCTGTATGAACTTTACTGGAAAGCTGCTGTAGTGTCTTATGAACTTTACCGGGAAGCTGCTGTAGTGGCTGTATGAACTTTACTAGAAAGCTGCTGTAGTGTCTTTATAAACTTTACTGGAAAGCTGCTGTAGTGTCTTTGTGAACTTTACTGGAAAGCTGCTGTAGTGTCTATATGAACTTTACTGGAAAGCTGCTGTGGTGTTTTTATGAACTTTACCAGGAAGTTGCTAGTGTCTGTGTAAAATTAACCGGGAAATTGCTAGTGCCTATGTGAACTTTATCGGGAAGCTGCTATAATGTCTTTACGAAGAAGCTGCTGTAGAGTCCTGATGAAGTTTACCGGAAATTTGCTGTAGTGTCTTTCTGAATCCTACCGGGAAGCTCCTATAGTGTCTGTATGGAGTTGGTACAAAGGCCATTAAAGCGTCCATGAATGTTGACGTACGTGAATGTTATGGAATGCCGTTGTGGCAAATGCTAAATCTTTAAAAAAATTTCTTCACTTATTCCAATTAAAATTATTTTATTTTTCGCTTTTTTTTAGTGCAAAGGTTTTAATGGACTATATGCGCTCTGTCAACAGCCGTGAATCGAACCCTGAGTTGAGTATTGTAAGTTTCCAAACTTACCGCTGACCCACCGTCGACACAATTGGACTAAAAATAGCATTTTACAGTAGCATGCGAAATTATTGACCAACAAGTAGACAAATCCCAACTTGACGAAACAAAAGTTAACCTGAGCACATTCGGAAAATTAACCTTTTTTTTTCTTCTTCTAAGTATTTCAAAAGAAGACATCGTTTTCTTCCGAAAGTACTGTACTTGTTGAGTTTCTTTAATTTTTATTTTATAAAATATTCTGTGTTACATTTAAAATGGATATTTTATTGTTAATCAGTGTGTTTGTTATTTGTTTTTAACAACTTGTTACAAATGTTTTATAAGCTATGTTTTGTGGAACGCTATTAAGACTAACGCCAACCTAATCGAGAGTGTTAGGGAAACTCGACAAAGTTAAACTATAAATATAAGTGAGCCTGTGTAAAACATAATGCTTAAAGTCTTAGTGAGTGAGCCAAGATTAAAATGCGTTAGTAAGCACTGTGTGTCAGTGTCAATCAAGTCCAGCATACCTGGTGGTTAAAACTCTCGACTCGCGCGCCATCTGTAGGTCGCGGAATTGGAAATTGTTGCCAAACATGCTCGCCCTTTTAGCCGTGGGGTCGGTATAATGTCACAATCAATACTACCATTCGATCATCCAATATTAGGGACGGCTAACGCAGACAGCTCTTGAATAACCTTGCGCAAAATTCAACAAGCAAACTGTGTAAGACGATATTAAGAATAATTGGCTTCTGATAACGGTTTTTAGAAACCATATAATACTAAGGCCTAACTAACAAGTGCTATTTTAGGAGATACATTACGTCCAGAAAATGATATGCGTAATTTAGACCTGATTAGCAGTGTCGGATTTAGACCTTTTGAGGCCCCTTGCACTATTGCTATGTTGGAGGCCCCCCTTCTCTAGGGCTTAGAGGCCTCCTGATGCTCGAGGCCCTCATGCAATTGCGTGGGTTGCCCCTATAAATCCGGCCTGCTGATTAGTATTGAGACTCGTCGTTTGATATGTGGAAGAATTGAAATGGAATCGAATTGTTCTATTGGAGTGCGGAAATTAGTATAGAAAAGTGTGCGAGTCTATTCTGGAACTATCTACTTGAAAACCCAATGCAAAATCAGTGAATGCGATTGAACAATAATTTTTTTGAGACGGATTCATTGTTTTCTTTCTTTTACTATGTATTGTTCTTTGTTTGTTTTCTTAGCAAAGCCACATTGGTTTATCTGTTGTGTCTACCACGGGGAATCGAACCCCAAATTTTAGACTTGTAAGTCCGTAAACTTATCTCTGTCCCACCAGGGAACTTTACCATGTATAAGAAGTATCGAACCCCAAATTTTAGCCTTGTAAGTCCGTAAAGTTATCTCTGTCCCACCAGGGAACTTTACCATGTATAAGAAGTATCGAACCCCAAATTTTAGCCTTGTAAGTCCGTAAACTTATCTCTGTCCCACCAGGGAACTTTACCATGTATAAGAAGTATCGAACCATAAATTTAAGCCTTGTAAGTCCCTAAACTTATCTCTGTCCCACCAGGGAACTTTACCATGTATTAGAAGTAAAATTAATTTTTAAGAATGAACTTTATTACAAAAGTTGTAGTTTGCAATAGTCTGTGTTCTTGCAAAGATAACTAATTATATATACATATATATATAAATGTTTCTATTTGTTTTACCTTTTTCTCATAGATTATTAAAGATAGAATAAACTATCACGTTGCGCGAAGCTATTTTGTTTGGAATTCCCATCCCGGAGCACTTTTATTACTTCCTCAGTTCTCGGATGTACTACGAGACTTTCCTTTCCATTGGCGCCACCTGGGAACATCATTAAAATCTAATTTCACAGCCATTATCTACGCCACAATGCCCATCGCATCTGCTTCTTCTTCACTTTCACGTCTAATCAAGAATGTTGCCAAATCTTCGTTTGCTTCAAGAGTAAGTAAATACTTTTAGTAAGTTGTAACGTAGCGCATTTACTCGTAACGTGTTACATCTGTAAGAAAAACCAAGTCATTTATCTACTTTGTTTGATAATTTAGTAAAAGTCAGTGTTATTTTTGGTAGTAATGAAGCAACTACCTGTTATTGTAATTATAAGATTTTCTGTTTTAACTTCATTTGTTGCTACTGGGAATTCTAACTTGAACGGCTATACATGAGATAAATGTTCAGACCAAAGACCCCTAGGGTTCAGATATAGACATCCCTGATTTCGAATTACTGCTCAGAAGGAAGGCAGCTGGTTGAAAGCTTTATCTGGCTTTGAGGTGAATGAAGGGTCTCATGGGTCACACTCGGTCTCATGGCAGTGCGAAGTACAGTGAAACTCCGATTTTACGCGAATTCGGATATAACGCGATGGGTCATTAACTCTTTTGACACGGACTCGGTCCCTGGAACCGACCTCGTAA